AGAGTGGGACTCTACCTGTCCTCATTGTAGGTTACATCCTGGTACCTTTCTACATATGTTTTGGCCATGTCCTAGAATTGTCTTATTTTGGTCTTTTTTTCATCTAATTAATTTATGGCTTCAGTTGTCCTTGACCCTCTCACCTGCCTTAGAATTGTTGGGGCTTCATGATGATGTGCAACGATCCCACCATCTGAAGTTGTTGATATCTTATCTCCTTTATTATGCTAAAATAGAGATTCTATTGAAGTGGAATTCTGGGGACGTCGTCCTGGGAAATGGCTGTGGATGCGACAATCCCAATGTACAAGCTTACCTATATCAACAGGGGCTGTCCATGGAATTATGATAAGGTGTGGCTCCCCTAGACTTCTCACTGAGGGATTGTGGTGACCCATTATTCTCTACTTGGATTTTGGAGTGGGGACTTATGGTAGCATCGCCCTTCTTTTCCCCCTTTTTCCCTCTTTCTTGTGCTCTTTTCTTTCTCCCTCCCTCCTTCTTTCCATCCTTTTTCCCCTCCCCCGTCTCTCCCCCCTTTTTTTCCCCCTTTTCTATTTTCCTGGATGTCTGGTTTCCATTAATTTCACCCCTGGGTTATCTCCTCAAACATTTTCTATTGCGGCAATATTGGACTGATTTTTATGATTATTGTGTGCAGATCATTTCGCTCTTCCCTTCCTCTTGTCCTACACTGGATGTTATGCAATATATTGTTTCTACTCACTTGTTCTATACTATAACTTTCATGTCAAATGTTTGTATTATGTACCTATGTTATAATGTTTTATACTTCCTTTTACAATAAAACACCCTGTTTTTGTAAAACAAATATTTATATCCAGTTATATTATATTCATTTAGGAATGCATCCAGGCCTTTTTTTAACAACCTGCCGACTGCTTGCAGTAAATATACTGCAAGCAGGCGGCGCGCACACAGGCACAATCACGTACATGTACATGATCACCTTTCTTCCGAGTTCCAACCCCTGCTGTAATTGGACATAGCAGAAGTGTGGCAGTTGATTTCAGCCCCAGTGATTGTGGCTGAAATCAGCTCATCAGCAGTGTCTGTTCCCACACAGAGTTCTGTTAAACCCTTCTCAGCCAGTGTCAAAAGTACAGTGACAGTGCACAGTATTAGCACTGATCACTGATTCACTATTGATGTCAGTGTAAGTTAGTGTACCACCCAGCAAGTGTCAGCTAGTGTCAGATTGCTGCCACACTATCACAGCCCCACTATAAGTAGCTGAACACCACCATAACTAATATAGCATCATAGCTGAGTAACTTTCAGCATATACACCATAGTTTGTAGATTATATAACTTTTACACAAACCAAAATATATGCTTATTGGCATTTTGTTTTTACCAAAGACATGTAGCAGTACAGTTTGGCCTAAATTTATGAATAAATTAGATTTTTTTTATTGGACATGTTTCATAACTGAAAGCAGAAAATAATTTTTTTTTCCAATTTTATTTTGTTTATATAATAAAAAATTTAAAAAAGAGTGGTGATCAAAAAATTATATAAATTTAATTTGCATACAGTGTTGTATGACCGCGCATAAAGTAGCACAGTGCGAAATAGCATAAAAAAAGACCTGGTCGTGAAGGGGTCAAAATCTACTGAGCTGGCAAGAACCAGTTCTTGAGGGAGTCTATTCCACATTTTCACAGCTCTTACTACGAAGCTTTCCATAGGTGGAGGTTAAATCTCTTTTCCTCCAGGTGTCCTCTGTAATATCCTCCCTTAATCTTCTCTTCTCAAGAGAGAATAAATTTAGTTCCTCTAATCTTTCCTCATAGCTGATCTCCTCCATGCCTCGTATCAGTTTATTTGCCCTTCTCTGTACTTTCTCCAGTTCCCCAATGTTCTTTTTGTGAATTGGTGCCCAAAACTGAACTGCATATTCCAGATGAGGTGTTACTAATGATTTTTACAGGGTAATATGATATCTCTCTCTCTGGAGTCTATACCTCTTTTAATACAAGAGAAGATTTTGCTCGCTTTAGAAACCGCAGCTTGGCATTGCATGCTATTATTAAGCTTGTGATCTACCAGAACTCCCAGATCCTTCTCCACCATTGACTCCCCCAGTTGTACCCCCCCCCCCCCAGTATGTATGATGCATGCATATTCTTAGCCCCCAAGTGCATAACCTTACATTTATCAACATTAAACCTCATTTGCCACATAGTTGCCCAATTAAACAGTGCATTGAGGTTGCCTTGTAAGTTGAAGACATCCTGTAAGGACATTATTCCACTGCACAGCTTGGTGTCATCTGCAAAGACTGAAATGGTACTTTTATTCCCTGAACCTATATCGTTTATAAATATGTTAAAAAGTAAGGGTCCCAACAATCCCTAGAAATGTTAGTTGTATGGCTGTTATCAGGGTTGGAGCCAGGTGGTTTAGGAGGATCTGAGGATTCAGATTTTAACAGTGCTGCAGACATGTGCTTTTTTACACACTCCTCATCGCTATACCTGCCAGGAGTGTGTGTACTTTAGTAAAGCTGACTGTCAGCTTTCATGTGGAAGTGATATAAGTGGCTGTGAATCCGCTTATTACTTCCACAACGTTGTGTGATGCCCCCATACCCCCCCCCTCCCCTGAGCCCAATGCTGTCATGGCAGGTGTTGCTGGGAAGAGTGGCAGGAGCTCAGGAAACCACCATCCGCTCAGCGTCTCTCCTGTACACAAACCATGAAGTCACATGTATGACATCACTTTCTGGACCAAAGCTGTCATTCTCTGAGATCAGTGCTGGGGGAAGTGGCTGATGGAACACGGTCTGTGTTCCAACAGTTGCAGTGGAGAAGAGAAGAGACATCCAGGGTCTAACAGACCCCGGGTGTCTCCATAAAGAGAATTTGTCACCTGTATGCTATCACATAGGGGGATATTGGTACTCTATATGATAGCAATAATAGTAAATAATGTAAAAATAAAAAATAAACAACCAAAAAAGTTTTACGCATATAAAGAGATACATAAAAAAAAATTAAAACATTTTAAAGCCCCCTTCTCACACACCTACGAAAACAAGGCAAAGTGCACCTTCACCTGCCTAGACAAGAATCATTGCACCGGCCCTGGCTGTTATGTTTATCCAAAAGCTGCAATATATTTTAAAACTCTTATCCAAAACTGGTATAACCACTTGCCCTCCAGAGGATTTACCCCCCTTCCTGACCAGGCCATTTTCTGTGATACAGCGCTGTGTTACTTTAACTGACAATTGCAAGGTCATGCAAATGAAATGTATATTCTTTTTTTTCCCACAAATAGAGCTTTTTTTTGGTGGTATTTGATCACCTGTGCATTTTTATTTTTTTATTTTTTGCGCTATAAACAAAAAAAAGAACACTTTTGAATTTTTTTTTTAACTTTTTGCTATAAAACATATCCAGTAAAAAATTAAACAAATCTAATTTCATCATAAATTTAGGCCAAAATGTATTCTGTCTTTGCTAAAAAAAAAATCCCAATACTCGTAAATTAATTGTTTTACGTGAAGGTTATAGCATCTACAAATGGGTGTATATATACTGGAATTTTTTTTTTATACTAGTAATGTCGGTGATCAGTGACATATAACGGGACTGTGTCAGGCATCCTGACACTGGGGGGAACTGACTAACTGCCACTGACATCCCCAGTGACACTAATACAGTGATCAATGCTAATAAAAAGCACTGCCACTGTACTAATGACACTAATGACACTGGGCGGGAAGGGGTTAACATCTGGGGCAATCAAAGGGTTAACTGTGTGCTGTTTTACTATGTGGCCTGTGTGTGTTTTACTATGTAAGCATGCTACTTTGCATTACTCTGCTATGTATTGTTTACATACAGACCTCTCCCCTGTCAGTGTTCCTCGGCGATCTCCGGGTGCCAGCGAGAATCTCCAGCTGGGACCCGTTGATTGACAACTGTAGCTGCCAATGGCGGCACGGGCAGGGCGGCATGCACGCGCCCCTTACTCAGAAATGCAAAATTATGTATATATACGTGATTTTGCGCTGGCCTTTTCACCTGTAGCAGTAGTTCTGCTATAGGGCAGTCGGGAAGCAGATAATAATTAAGAATGGCTAGGAGGCTACCATTACGAGAAGAAAGTCAGCAATGAGAGCAGTCACTTTCCTCTCAGTACATGTTTACTATATGATACAGTATGAATACATTACATAAATCGCATTCATTTTCTGATAAACCTACAACAAATAATATATCAAAAGATATAAGATTAGGCAAAACAGAAAAACAAGATTTTTGTTTGCAAGTGTTGAAGTTGCAGAGCTTCACTTTCTTGATTAAGCCAAGGATACATTCATGGCTACATCCGCACAGCTGGTTTGCCCGGTGCAAATGACAGCAGCAGGACACTTGTAACTACACTTCTGCATGAATAACATTGTGAATGTGCTACAAATTACCAACAATCCAATGTAGTCACTGACATTTACAGCTAGGCCCCTTTCACACAGGCGGACTCCATTTGGATCAGCAGGCAGAGCAGACATGGACAGAGCCAGCTCTGCTCTGTGGGTGACTGAGAGTAAAAAGACTTTACACCTCCGATCTGCTTAGATAGAGGGAGGCAGATCCCCTTCTGTTTTTTTTTTTTTTCAGTGGGCCGGATCAAATTGGAGGTAGGTGAGTGTAAATGGACACAAATCCATTTATATCCACCGGTCCGTAGGGGTAAATAGAAGCTCTGATCAGTTCCGCCTAAAAAAAACTGCTGACCTGATCAGACCCTTTGAGCGAAAGGGTCCTTACAGAGTAATCTCTTCATTGGAAAGCAATTTTGTTTTAAACTGAAAGGATGAGTAAATCATATATTTCCTTTATTTTACTGGCCATGTAGGTAGCTGTTCATCTTTTAAATAAATAATGACACATTATTGTGACACACAAAAAAAAGCACTGTAAACCTGTTCCCCAGGAATTTATAAAAAAAGTTATAGCATACTTACTGTAAAATTTGTTAGAAGAGGCTGTGAAGTATATGTTAATACAGAAGGGGGACCAACCACAGTATAACCTTGACACATTGGCTGAACATACATATCTGTTGTATAAGGACAGCTAACACTTTCATGTGAAATATACTCCGGACATGCTGTCCATTGAGTTAAAGGTTGAAAGGAGGGTGGTTGTGAAATCAATCCAGTGTATAGGATGCTTTCATCATGAATTGGCAATGCTGTTGTTGTAGCATCCAGATCAACATAAGACACATCAGTGGAGCTCGAGACTGCTAAAAAATATGAAAACATAAAATGTGACAGATAAGGATGTTTCCACAGCGTATTATAAAACTTGATTAATCTATAAAACGTCTACACTAAATTTCATCACTGATACGTTCAATAGCCATTTTTTTGGGACTTCTAGGCATTCACTGTGTACTTAAAGTGGAACTACAGTGCTAAAAAAATTAAAGGAACACTTTGAAAACACATCAGCTCTCAACAGGGAAAAATATCATGCTGGATATCTATACGGATATGGACTGGGTAATGTGTTAGGAATGTAAGGATGACCCATCGTTTGATGAAAATGAAAATTATCAACCTACAGAGGACTGAATTCAAAGACAGCCCAAAAATCAAAGTGAAAAAATGATGCAGCAGGTTAGTCCACTTTGCTGAAATTTCATTGCAGCAACTCAAAATGGTACTCAGTAGTTTTTATGGCCCCCCCACATGCTTGTAGGTATGCCTGACAACATCAGGTCATTTTCCTAATGACACGACGGATGGTGCCCTAAGGGATTTCCTCCCAGATCTGGACCAGGGCATCGCTGAGCTCCTGGACAGTCTGAGGTGCAACCTGGCGGTGTCAGATGGACTGAAACATGATATCCTAGAGCTGTTCTATTGGATTTAGGTCAGGAGAGCGTGGGGGCCATTCAATTCCTTCATCTTCCAGGAGCTGCCTGAATTCTCTCTGCACACGTCGTGCACCAGGAAGAACCCAGGACCCACTGCACTAGTAGGGTCTGACAATGGGTCCAAGGATTTCATCCCGATACCTAATAGCAGTCAGTGTGCCATTGTCTAGCCTGTAGAGGTCTGTGCATCCCTCGATAGATATGCCTCCCCAGACCATCACTGACCCACCACCAAAACACTCATGCTGAACGATGTTACAGGCAGCATAACGTTCTCCATGGCTTCTCCAGACCTTTTCACGTCTGTCACATGTGCTCAAGGTGAACCTGCTCTCACCTGTGAAAAACACAGGGCACTAGTGGCAGACTTGCCAATTCTGGTGTTCAATGGCAAATGCCAAACAAGCTCTATGGTGCTGGGCAGTGAGCACAGGGCCCACAGGAGGATGTCGGGCTTTCAGGCCACCCTCATGAAGTCTGTTTCTGATTGTTTGGTCAGAGACATTCACACCAGTGGCCTGATGGAGATCATTTTGTAGTGCTCTGGCAGTGCTCATCTTGTTACTCTTGTAGAGTAACTGTCTGTCTCCTGGAATCTCCTCCATGCTCTTGAGACTGTGCTGGGAAACACAACAAACCTTCTGGCAATGGCATGTATTGATGTGCCATCTTGGAGGAGTCGGACTGCCTGTGCAACCTCTGTTGGATCCAGGTATCGCTTCATGATACCAGTAGTGACACTGACCCTAGCCAAATGCAAAACTAGTGAAAAACAGTCAGAAAAGATGAGTAGGAAAAAAAAAATGTCAGTGGGCTCCACCTGTAAAACCATTTCTGTTTTGGGGGTTGTCTCATTGGTGCCCATCTAGTGTACGTGTTGTTAATTTAATTATCGCCAAAACAGCTGAAACTGATTAACAACCCCCTCTGCTACTTAACTGACCAGATCAATATCCCAGGAGTTTAACTGACTTGATGCTATACTCTGATTAAAAAGTGTTCCTTTCATTTTTTTGAGCAGTGTATATTCAGGAAACATCATCCTTCAAGTGGGGCTATGATGTTGCCAGTAAATCTGTCATTTGTTCAGTAAAAGTAGCAGTTAGAGGGTTAGGACAAAACATTTTTACCACAGACGCTTAAAACTGCCATACTTTATTCATTTATGTAAAACCTTATCCCAAAAGGAGAAAAAAAACTGTTGTTGTAACTACTTGAATTGGAAGTAAACTTAACTTAACAATCCTGCTTTGTTAAAGAGATCCTGGCATTCTATATACAGTATCTTGCCTCTGTGGATGCTGGCTAAGCTGGAGACAGGCTACTTTCATGTGAGTGTAATATTAATAAATGTCTTCAGCTTCAGTTTGATCCCCCAAATCCATGTAAGGAGCTGCAGGATCAGTGTATATTGGGCTAAGAGACTGATGGACTCTCGTATCACACAGGCTTTTATAATGTGTGCTACTATTTGTTATTGTTTGTACCTGTAGGCTAAATATGCCTCTGATTATGGCAAGCTCCTAATAGGCTCCTACGAAGTTAGAAGAACAGAGTGTGCCTAGGCATCATCACATGTGGTAATACTCTGCTAGTTCTAATTTAGAATTTTATGTTACGGTAATTTTTTTACAGATTCATCTCTGATAGTAAATCCCTGTTAGACCCCCAAATCTTTGTAGCCTCCCCAACATCTGAATACACAGGGAAGCAATAGAAACTGTGGTTTAAAGAATATTTTGTAAGTGTATTTTACTTTGAATTTTTCTTTTTTGATCTCACTAAGCTAATGTTTTCATAGAGTGGAAGGCTGCAACAGCAATCATCCACATACAGTATACAGTGCTATATTCTGGCAGCAGTAGGAATACTTTTCATCCTGTTTGGAGCAAAACTGAGTCAGGCTTAGCATTAAACAGAATTGTATGAATGAACACAAGGTTTTCTCTGATTGGTTGAGGTGGAGAGGTTGGTGGTTGACGTCAAGCTCTTTACCTCAGCCAATCAGAGGAAGCCTTGTATTGATTCATAAAGTACAAAACTTCCTGTGAATGTTGCTCAGCCTGTCTTAAATTTGTTCCAGGAACAGGACTGGAAGTTCCTGTGCCAGTACCAGAACACAATGCTGACACATTACCTAGTTAAGGAAATAGTTTCTGTGGATCATCTTGGCCCGCATGAACTATTATAAGTGATTGCAAAGTATAATTTTTTCCCCTAAAATAAAAAACAGGTTATGCTTTCCTGCTTTATGCAATGTTATTGTACAGAACAGCCCCGAATCTCCACTTCTGGGGTCCCCCACTGGCACTCTAGGCTCCTCTGGTTCTATGGTGGCACACATGCAAGTCAATCCTGAGCTGGGCAGTGAGTGTCCATTGATACACACATTGTGGCTTGGCACCACCCCTGCTCCCTCCTCTCATGATTTGACTGACAGCAGCAGGAGCCAATGGCTCTCGCTGCTCTCAGCCAAGCCTGTAACAGAGCGGAGAGAGAAGAGAGATGAGCACAGCACTGGATCTATACAGGACTCAGGTAAGTAAAAGGGGGTGAGGGGAATGAATTAGAATAAAAAACCTAATGACTTCAGAACCACTTTACAGAGAAATGAAACCTGGAGTTAGGCTTATAGAACTTTTAGGATCTGAAGGTGGACCTGAATCACACCAAACAGAGGTTTGCTCGTGACAAACAGGAGTCCCAGAGCCTTCAAGACTTTCAATCTTCGAGTGCATCTTCCTTTAAAGTGGGGGACCCAATCACCAAGGAAGAGTACTGTATTTGAGTGAATATTTTTCCAAGAGTGCTGTGCAAAAAAATCAAACAGCTTTTATGTGTTTTAAAGGATAAGTTCACCTTTCGCAACATGTTACATGTTACACCCATATTCAGGGTGTAACATGTTACAATCAGACCGATCCCCGCTTCCCCCGATTCCCACTGTGACAGCTAGCTGGGGATCTTTTACCCCTTTGCTAGCTGTCACATGGCCATGTCCAGGGGCGGACTGACAACTCATGTGGCCCCCGGGCAATACGGGATCATGGGGCCCCTGTGTCCTTGCCCAAACTCAAAAAAAGCCTATGAAAAAAGGTACCAGGCCCCCTACTGACCCCGGGTCGTTGGGCAGTGCCCAAGTTTCGAAATTGTCAGTCCGCCCCTGGCCACGTCACTCATTCACAGTCATCTGTGAATGAGAGACTACGAGTCTCAACAGTCTTAGAGGCTTGTAGTTCTCAATGAACTTCACAGCACTGTCAGTATATCTGCTCGCTCGTACATCCTGGTGCATGGCACCAGTGACCTGCTGATTGCTGGATCAATGGTTTATAGGCTCCTGCAGACAAAAATAATGAGTGCTTTTTTTACCTGCAAACAAATGTGCATTTATTATTTTTTTTCTAAAAGGTGAACTTATCCTTTAATGAAACATTTTTCTTCTTCTACTTTACTGCATATATGATTTTTGGAATTTAGGTTTGGAGTTAAGTCTTACTAGGGAAGTTAGAGGTTATGGTATAACCAAATCTTTTATTTTATTTTAGCTTTAGCTTGAGTAGGCTAGGATTAGAACCCCTTTTTGTTTCTGTCTGTGTCTCTACTGAAGAGATTAAATGGTCCTGGCTACCAATAGGCTATACATGCACTTTAATGGTTCATTTTAGGGGTTGGGTAAACATAACAATTTGACAGTGAATTTAAGAGCCAGGTGAAAGGTAGGTGTCAGGCTGTAGGGAAACAACTTTACTGTGTGTTAAGTGCCAATGGTCCTGCACAAAAAGCATGTGTACTTAGCCTCATTTGCTAAAAATAAAGTGTATCTGACCTTAGTACAAGAACAAAGATGGGCCCTATACCAGTACCTTCCAATTAAGCAACAGCCAAAACTTTGCTTTTGTATTTTATACATTGCATAACAGACTTAGAGCAACCCTGATGATATAATAGTGCTCACAGAGCATTATTATATTAAAATTTGTAGGCAGCAATAAGAAGTTTAGCTTGTTAAGGTGTTAAGTGTCAGCTCCTGTACGTGGAAAAATGGGGGGCTCGGCATGGTAAATACTTTTGCATTGCTACATATAGATATACCCAATAACATTCTGTTTTTAATTTAAAATAAAAAAGCACATAAAAACTATATCATTTTTTTTGTTTATAAATTACCTACTGGTGTGTAGGATGGATATGTCTGGAAAGTTGATGTCACCTGGAAATATACATCAAAATTTAATTATAAAAGTAAACTAATGTATTCATATCAGATTAATATGTAGTGAATTATAAAAAAGACAGTATTTTTAAACAAATAATGAAACCACATCTTAAAGTATAACTAAAGTTAAAACGTTTTTTGTAGCTTTGGGTAAAGTGGAAAGC